AACCACCTCCTATTTCAATCAAACATTCAATAGTTGATTTAGCTCTTTTCACTGCATTGATCCAGCTTGCTTGATAATCTTCCATTCTATCTGCACACATTCTCACACTTAGTTGAATCATATTTGTAAGCTCAGCAATATCAGAATTCACACCACTTATTGGTTGCTCCTGTTGATATAAACCCTTCACATCTTTCTCGATTGCTTCCCATTCTAAATCTATTTGGGGGGCACGGGTGGCCAAGTTGTCTAAGGAGCCGCGATTCGCTGTGCAGAGTTGCATCCCTTGGGCAAGCCAGAAACCTATGATTGTGGGTTCGCTCCGATTATGTTTCTAGGTTTCTCAGCACCATATCCGTGCTCGTGGGTTTCACCGAAGTGTAAACGTCAGAGACCTGCATCACTTCGAGCTTTCTCAAACATTAAGCTGACAAGCCGCGATATAACTGGAATACTGCCAAAAGCGGCGTTAAACCTAACTCACTCACTCACTAAAGCGATGTGACAAGCATCAACAAATGTCTCAGGTATTGAATGGCGAATCTTTAATTCCATCTCTCTATTGTATGGACTCCGAAAAAAACTGGTAAATAGTAAGTTCATCTCCGAGCGAAACTTGTCAATGCATGTACAAATACCTGAAGTGATTCACCATCAAATTGTTTCCTTATGAAGAATTCAGCTTCCAAACTTTCTTGTCTATCGTGCTCAGACAAACATTTCTTTAAACACTGTTTCAAAGCATTCCAGGGGGCACGGGTGGCTCAGTCGTCTAAGGCGCCGCGATTCGCTGTGCAGAGTTGCGACCCTTGGGCACGCCAGAAACCTATGACTGTGGGTTCGAATCCCGGTTCGCCCCGATTATGTTTCTAGGTTTGTCAGCAGCATACCCGTGCTCGTGGGTTTCACCGAAGTGGTAAACGTCTGAGACCTGCATCACTTCGGGCTTTCCTCCCACATCAAGCTGACACGCCGTGATATGACTGGAACACTGTTAAAAGCGGCGTTAAACCCAACTAACTCACTCACTCACTCACTCAAAGCATTCCAGTCACTCTTCTCTGTATCATCCAAATCATTGAAATAACGTAGATCCCACTGCTGCCACCAAATGTTACAACTCGTCTTAAATCATTACAAGTGTAGCTCAAAACGCCAAATATTTACTAAATCCTCAGTCACAACTTATTCGCATCGCCAAGACAACATCAAAATACATGTACGTGACATCAAGAAGAATATATATACATATAGTAACGAAGGATCAATGATAATAGGTTCTACTGTGTGACATGTAACAAATGCTGTTTACAAAGGGGCATAACTCTTGTAGTCCTTTTTGCATGCCACAAATAACATAGTAACCTCATAAAAATAGATGTGTAAATAAATGGGATTGATTTTCCTGATGGGAGGAAAATAACAGATAATTAGATCTGCATTGTTGGGGACAATCTGAGATCCCACGTGGTAGGAGATTGCTCAGTGAATGTTTTTTCGAGCTCGCATTATTGCAAAGAATGTTTGGCCTCTCTAACCGACAGATAACAGACTCCTCTTAGAGGCTTACAAAGGAACCCAGAAATACAATATACACATGTCTGTCAGTTCAATCAATAAATCTTTACTCAATAACGCATAAAACCCTTTCCATACCCAATAGAAAGCAGAGTCGAATGAACGATTCCGACCATATCATGAGCATGTGTTTATGAATTACTATCAAATAGCAATGTTACCAGGTGCGAAAAGGTGAGCGTATCCTGACCCTCTGGTGGCACCCATCACGAACACATGCAAAGGTAAGTCAATTGTTCACAGGAAAAAACACGTGAACGTATCGTAAAAGTCAAAATAGGAAATTCATCAAGCACATCATTCATCAAGCACTTAAGAGGCCACGGGCCTAAAGTGCATATGACAGAGGTGTTGCAAACAATTTTAACTATTATTTTCAAATTTTGTTCTGTATAACAGTGCGTGGAATATATACATGACTAAGTTTTGCATAATTAATTTATCTAGATTGTTTAACAACTGTTGGAATATCACAATATTTTGATCATTATAATAGTATGCAGGAATATTAATTATTTTCTCACAGTGGAGTACAATGGACATACAAGTAAAAAGTGATGTTCATCCCCTATATCTTGACTATTACACATTTTACATAATCGTTCCGACTTTTGAGTTTTTGTATATCTCCCATTCTCGATGCATAGATCATGGGGTGAACATCGAAATCTTGCCAATGAATTACGGTATTACTTTATATTGACATAAAACAGATACTGGTCAGAGAATGAGAGCTTTCAACATTTTATAATATCAAAATTTGTACGAAAATGTCAACGAAAATGACCACGATTGCGGATAAATATCTTTTAGCCTCCGCAGAAAAGAACTGATAAATACTTTTTCAGATTGTACAGATTGTTCATACCAAACATATTGAGAATATCCTCTGTAATATCTTTCCTGAAATCATCATTGGTACAGTCATCTTGTCCGGCACAGTTGATGTTTGCTCACCAGCAAACATATCTCTTAAATTACAATAAAGTCAGCAATCTTAATATTATTTTGTACATAATGCTTACAATTCAAACTTTTAATCACAGACCAGGAATTCTTTGAGCTCTTAATGTTACAATGCTTTGCAGACCATTGTGATGTCATTGGTTACCATGACGTCACAATCAAATGACATCACTAATGGCTCTGCTACTGAAGCTGTTAGCAGTACTTTTTACACTTAAGATACTACTTATTACTTTCTACAAACTGAAAATGTTGAAAGAATGATGGATGATAAACAAAATCTCCCCCTCGTGTCTTTTGATATCAAATATATCAACACTCGTTGATAAGTGGTAAAAAATCCTCGGCAAGCGTCGGAGTTTTTCCACTTTTATCAACTCGTGTTGATATATTTGATATCAAAAGACACTGGGGTGGGATTCTCTATATTTTGCTTTTTGTATTCAAAATATTCATTCTTTTTTTGCCTGCAGACATCACTATATTTATTTCTTATGTAGTTGTAATCCTTCAATGAGTGACTATCGTTATATTTTCTAAAACTATTCAATGCTCTACAATTTTATGCTCTAACTGTTCACATTCAGTGTCAAACCATTCATTATTACATTTACTTCTTCCAGCTGGCTTCTTCGTGTCATTTGCTGCAACACATTATGCATATACTCTATATTTCTATCAATGTCATTAAAAATCATATCAACAGATTGATTAAGTAATTCTTGTATATGATCGGACAGCATATTTTCTCTAAATAATTCTAACATTTTAGAGTCCCATTTAAATCTAAATGCATTTTGGTTGAAACCATTGTTGGAGCGGGAGATGCGGTAACTCTTCTCGTGATTGGATAGAAAAGTAATTGGCAAGCTCAAACCTTGCTGCAGATGAAATCATATAATCTATTACGCTTGCCCCATTTGGCCCAGTGAATGTATAATCCCAGATTTCAAGGTAAGCCAGTGTAGATTCTTATGGTAAAATCTCAGCTAAAACCAGAGTCGATGTGTACGGCGAAAATGGCAGAATCAGTGTTTGTCAAGGCATGTGTTTGGCGTGAAGACAAAAACAGTGTTGAACAGTGACAAGTGCTTCCCTCCTCTATGTTCAGGACACGATGCATTTCAGGATATTTTGGCATTTGATATATAGCTCATGCACGCAACAAAAAGGGACAAGTTTTCACTTGATCAAATGAATAAAAGCATAGAAAATGCGAGCAGATTGGCGATCATACAGTACATAATTGGCTGTTTCATCGACTGTTGCAAATGTTTGTTGGTAAGGACATTACCTTTCTTTCATTCTTTGTTGTTTAACGCCGCACTCAGCAATACTCCAGCTATATGACGGCGGTCTGTAAATAATCGAGTCTGGACCAGACAATCCAGTGATTAATATCATAAGCATCGATCCACGCATTTGGGATCGATGACATGCATCAACCAAGTCAGCGAGCCTGACCACCCGATCCCGTTAGTCGCCTTTTACGACAAGCATAGTCACCTCTTTACGGCAAGCATGGGTTGCTGAAGACCTATTCTACCCCGGAATCTTCACGGGTCTAATGTCGACATTGGTAAGGACATTACCAATGTCGATGATGAAATGTGTAATATCTACTTAACCTGGGACTAATAGTTGAAATAATCTCTGGTAATTTGACGAAGCACAGATTGCATTTTTGCATGTATGTATGCAGGATTATTTGTTAAGAAGGAAAACCTTGGTTTTCATTTTCGAAGCTATTTTGCCCTTAACGTCAAATCTGTATCTATTTCGGTGTGTAATCTGGACTGGTTCTTCTCTTTCAATGACAATTTATATTTTCTGAATGTCAATGTGAGACCCAGGGAACACTTTTTGACACCTTACCCAGAATTTATATTAGCTTATGGTCCCCGTATCAGACTTTGTGCCATGTGATGTGAAAGTACACTCTTCAAGCAGTGTAATCATGATCATATTGATATTGATATGCACAAAGGCATCAGATGTGCCAGTGCTACCCCTACACAGTCTCATTAATTTCAACAGCACCGAACTTCACGATGAAGGTCCATTTGATCCTAGTACTATTTGTAGGATATATGTAAGCTAATTGTTGTCCCTCCTGCGGGTGCTTGTTGTATACATCTCGTGCAGGCTGTGTCTTTAAATTTACCTCTTCTCTTATCTGCCCGACAGTGTCGAGGGGTAGAACTCAGCAGTATATTCAGAGGTAAGCAATGTGAAAAATTAGACGGTATTCGTGACTCAATGGAGGAGGGGGTTGGCACCCTCATTAACGGCACTTTATCATAATTAATACAAAACAAGAACCCGGACACTCCAACCAGATGCTCCCCGACGTTGCCCGGAAGCTCCCTGGTGTTGCCTACATGGACGCTATTACAGTGCATGTATTTTATTATACTTTTTAATATTTTTCACAAATTAAACTTAACCTAGGAAATTCTAAAATTCGAAAGTCGCTGGACCAGTATTTCTCGTTTTTATCGCCACTGGTCGGCCATGACGGCTGCTCCTTGACAACAGTAAATTACGTAATCATAGATAAAGTCGGCAGGTACGTTCGCACCAGCCTTGCTTCTCTTGATAATGATTTGTTACCAGCTGGCGCAGATTTGACCGTCATCTAAAACTATAATTAAAATCAATTCTTGTTAGGCAATACTGATACTATTCTATTACCACCTGCTTTTGTGTAGTCAACTTTGACAGCCTATGGAAGATAACAAAGACGGAAAAGACTCCTTGGGTGTTGGTCCTCAGCACACTTGCTTGAATGAACCCTAAGGACCCCACAGCCCTCTTCCCTCTTGTTTCAAGGTAAGAAACATTTAGATATTCCCATTTTATGACTAAACTTCCTATTTATTGTTAATATCATCTAGAAAATGTTAATGTTAAGTTGAATCAGTACTGCCGTATTGTAACGCTCAATCTACTATGTACACGTTCTAAATGACTGCTCTTTATATATTATTTATCGTTTAATACTCAGGCACTATCCAGTAATGTTTTAAGTGTAATGCGTCGTGGGCTTCTCCAGTTTATGTGTCATTTATGTGCGAAACCAATATTTATCTCCTATATTTCGACATCCATGATTATAGTCGCCTTCTATGTCTATCATTATCAGTTCAACAGTTTTCGTGCAGTAGCGTAGCGTACATGTAGCTTAGTGACAAAAAATGGTTCCTAGAGTTCACACAACTGTTTCAAGCACGATTTATTTTATACGTAGGTCAGTTATTCCATACTTTCCAACAGTCCACCGATCAAAGGTTATATGAGCAGCGTTACCTTCCATCCACGCTTACAGAATAGGTTAAAACGACGCATTCCATATTTCTTAGGTTTTATCGTCATGAAGTAAGTATTTGAATATATTGTAACTAGACCCGTCCCTGATACAGTTGTATACGGTACAACACAGACTATACAACAATTTCATTACCGTTGTCATTTAAATATAGTTATAGCCATTCTTTATTCTACATAACAACGTGCATTCAAACGCGCTTCGTTTAAGTATACAATTGCCGTATTCACTCCATTAGCTCTTATCTAGCTCCGTTATATATTTAGGAAATGCGCGTAGTCAATAGCAACATATCCGCAGTGATTCATTTCCGTAGTCACCAAAATAATCACTACTAAAACTAATATTTACACTAACTAAAACCGAGCTATATCTTCTACCGCGTACATTCGTATCCCTATTTGGATCAAGTATTTACTTTCCGTATTTACCGAAATTATTATGTTGTGATAATTATTACTGAACCTACAAATATTAATGTTAAGCGTCTTTTCATAAGGAAATGTCATGTTCCTCATCTAAACAGTTGGCGCAGTCTACCGTAAAATCTCTACCTAATTATTTTCATTTAATGTTAATAGCCATAAAAGGTTTACCGTAGTTACCCACAAAGGCGCGACATACCACACATATAATTCACATGTAGGTTTTACCGTACATGCTCTATTTAAATGTTACGACTACTCAATTTAGCTGTTAAGAAATGTTATTTGGCATTTCCGTTATTACTCTACTAAATATTGCATCCGTTGTATAATGTTACCGTACATACTCCAATACAACATACATTGCTTTTTTCAGATTTAGATTGAAACTGTTAGGATATTATTATCATTATCATCATTGTACGTCACTATTATATATTAATTAATGCAACTTGAATGATATAACACACTTGCTTGAATAAATCCTAAGGACTTCACAGCTACCTTCTCTCTTGTTTCAAGGCTAGTTTCCAATAGCTAATTCCCCAAATCGAGGCCTGACAGTAATTTGAATCACCCCTCAAAGCTGTCTTAGACGCTATAGTACCGGACGTTTTACACTCCGTGAACCATCTGGGGCCATGCATGAACTTTTGAAAACGTCAGTGTAATTCTTTTTCTAGCTATATGTTATCTTTTATAATTAATACAAAGCCACAGTTATATATTATACACTTTATTATTTAGTATCATTCTCCCTGGCGTTCCCACCATATGCTCCCCGACGTTACAGGCTGCTATAGTACCGGACGTTTTACACTCCGTGAACCATCTGGGGTCACGCATGAACTTTTTAAAACGTCTGTCTTTCAATATTACTTATGAAATAGTATACAGAATTTGACAAAAAAATGTACATTATTTTTGTTCCATAAGCAAATTTACATTTACAAAGTTACGGCCCCCACGTCAGTCCGAATAAAGTAAGATTGTATTTGCTTCGCAAATTTACCATTTAAAAAGAATAGTTGTGTATGTAAAAAATTTCTACTTGTATGTTATTTTTTTTAATTAATAAAGAAACACAATTATAAAGAATTTTTGTCTGGAACGATCCTCGTGATGTCAATCACACGGAAGCTGTGCCCATTTTATTAAGAGTGCTTTTGACATTTCTTCTTTTTATATCCCATCTGATTTTGGGATGGTGCGGATACTTTATTAACACATTTTCAAGATGCAATCCTGATACAATACACATGGTATTTGTTAAATGGCATACTATTTTGGTAAATTTAACCGTTGAGAAAGTACTTTGATACTTAGTTGATGATTTACGTTGAGTGACTTATGTGTGATTAATTTTATAGTCAAGACCAATCATATATATTGTCTTCATTCTAAACGATATCCGTTACTGCTGTGTCCTGTTTTGTGCTGACAAAGCTAATGTCAAACTGTCTCCATGGGAACGTTTATTGCAGTATTTACGAAATGAAATGATAACATTCACACTCGAATTACTGTGAATAATGACTATCTTGTACTTGAGAGTTGCCAAAATACATATACAGCAAACAAAAACATTTCCTAAGCTATCAAAAGTCAGTCCACTGCCAGATGTCAAACAGCAACAAGGGTTTGCGAAAACCGAAATGTTTACTTTTATATTCATTGTTTTATCTGTGCCAAAGAAATTAATTTTGTTAAGGGGCATCGTTATCCTTTCCAATCCTCTGCTGTATTTAGTATTTTAGCAATATAATATTACGTCACTCTGACGTCACTTCACGAGACAACAAGGCTTCATTTTTTAGCAGTTGCTCTCACGCCATATACAATGCGCGCCAAGTGTTTGACTGTAATATTGCTTAAGACACTATATGACAAAACAGCGACTAACAAAACATGTGGAATTTTATCTTCCTCATGTAATATTCATGTTTATTAGACATTTAGTATGCATGTTACTTCGTAAATAGATCTCTATGTTTAAATAAAATAAAAACAAGAGATGGTAGATCTGCAAGTGGTTTCCTTAACATTACTTACAAAAACTTTCAATGATGTCCAGTGCACAATGTTATCACAACGTTAATTTGCAACGTTGTTACGTTGTGGAAATAAGGAGACAATGTAACGTTATAATAACGTTATCATAGAGAGACGCAATTACGTTCTGGAGATTTTAGTATTAAGAGATGAAAATCAAAATGCGAAATATATAGGAAAGTACTGCGTTACTGCCTTGGTATTCTGATGAAATCAAGTTCATTTTGATGAAGCAGTTCCCTTCCTAAATGACTTTCAAGAAGCAAACCATACAACGTTTCACCTAAATTTCAGAAACGTAGTTCCAAAACGTTGTGTGATGTAACAGCGTTGCATCACGCCGTACCAATTGTCAACCTTACTACAACGTTCTGACAATGTAGTGTGTTAGCTGGGTATATCTTAGAATCGGCACTGTCACTCTTATGTCAGTTCTTTCTTAACATGATGACGGCATGGGAAATTTGATAACCGATAACAGTCAAGAATTCGACAGGGTTTCAGAGAAGATAACTACCATCGAAAAACGTCTCAAGGGCGAGATCGACATGTTAAACCACAAACTCTTCAAAACTCTTGTGTACTCACAAAGACGAAATCTAGTAAAATAGGGCATCACAAACGACAAGACTGATCTACTTGGCGAAATACGAACACTGTTCAAAACTACCTTAGGAACCGAGTCTACAGTGTCATTGATGAGATGCTAGAGCCCATATGGCATCAGTTTGCATTGATAAAGTCTATGTGCCATGCTCAGTCAGAAGAATCTGCCAATACCCCTTCAATAGGTCAAACTAGCTGACGTACATGTACTTTGCTTGACCAATTATTGATTCTTAATATTTGGTAAAAGTCCGTTTTAAAAATAGCGTTTACACGTTTCATGCCTGTACAGCATCTGTAACTACCATCAGGCCTCGGCACAAGAATGCAAGGTGAAGCCCCGTCACTATGACTTGGTTCAATAAAGTCATTGTCCAGCATTGTATTGCATTTCCTACTTCAGAGGTTCAAGCTTGATTTGGATTCAACCCGTAGGGATGTTATTTTACAAGCACATTGTCATCTACTTCTGCATCATGACACGCTAAATCTGTACGACCAGAGACATCCGTGAACAAGTGAGCAAACCCTTGAATAAACACTGACACTTAAACCCTTTTGCTCAGTTGACAAATGACTTAGCATCCAAGTTCGCTAAAACTTCATAATTTTTTTGGCTTCGGGCAAGCATAGTCAACAATGCTATCAATCTTGACAAAGTCACAATTCTCATCAGTATCATAATCTGATACAATATTCACAGGAGGAACAGTGGCAACACACTGAGTAGGTACATATATTGTCATTTCTTTCCTGATACATTCTAATCATGTTGTCGTGACATAGCTGTTTCTTTGTACGACAGCCTGGCGTTTGCGTAACATAGTTAGCATCACAGACTTTTCTGTCAATAACATGCGGATCGTGGCACATAATGGATGACCAGGGCAAAAACACTGATGCTTTAACGCCAGGAACGAAAGATCTCTCTTTTAGTCACAATGTACTTGAGTTTGACATGGGAATCTTTCCAGTTATGCCTAGAAACTTCACACGCTTTTGAAAGCCTATTCCGAAATGATGAGCCATACTCAATCAAGCTCCTTTCTGGAAACCTAGTTCTATGATAGCAAGAATGTGCTGATTTCCATACTTAGTTTAAGGCAAAAAAATAGCACAATCAATGATGACCCTGCTGAAAGGTTCTACAAAATCTGGAATGTGTTTCAATGAGCAGCTGGGATTTTCTGATTAGGTTTGACAACCATTTGACACATATGGATGGAAGGAGGGATGGTTTGTTGTTTAACGCAGCACTTAGCAATATGACGGCGGTCTGTAAATAATCGAGTCTGGACCAGACAATCCAGTGATTAATATCATGAGCATCGATCCACGCAATTGTGATCGATGACATGCATCAACCTAGTCAGCGAGCCTGACCACCCGATCCCGTTAGTCGCCTTTTACTACAACAAAGT